GCCTGATTGGCTGATATTGCAGCTGCCTTGACAGTCACATTTAACAGTTACAGTCATGACTGGCAGTCGCAAATGGTGCCACAATATTGAGCCATTTTTATGTACGACTACAATTTCTCTTGATTTTATATTTGGCGTCATCGTTAAAATGGCTTTTATTATTTCCGTTTGGCAGCGTTATTAATGTTCTTGTTCTGCTTTTGACTTTACTTCCGATCCACACACACACACACACACACACACACACACACACGATGCAGATACACATACTCGTACATGCTCGTACATGTGGCAACAATTTATATTTTTCAATTAAGCTGCAAAAATTGTACGCTTTGTTTCGCACAACTGTAATAAATTTCAACTACCCTTAGTTCTGCCTGCCCCACACCCCATCGGTGGCTCGTGCTGCCAGACCAACACCCCCACCCCCACCCTCACCGCCATCCCCTTTCCTTTCTGTTTCACTTCATTTGTGCGCATATTGGGGGGGTGGAGGTATTTCGATTTCTGGCATTCTGCTGCCACTCGTTGCATATTCCTCCGCGTTATGGTTCAATTTCGATGCACATGCGTGTAATTGATAGCCGGGCCGGCCTCCAGGCTAATTGATAATTTTCGCTGTTGCAGTATTTGACCGGCAAGGTGGCTCCATCATTTGACTGCAGCTTAGATTTTCCATGGCGCTATTGTAGATGTGTATAGGGTTTACGAGTCAAGTGGAAACCGATGGGCGACTGGCAAAAGGCCAAGCATGAATGACAGGAATACACAGAGTTTTCGGTAGAAGAGAAGCGAATGAGAAGAGAATGTACATGGGAACATGGAATATACATATTATCAAATAATCAGATTCATTTATTACTGATTATAGCATTAAATGGACAAAGAACAATCCGGGATAAATCTATGCAGATCCCCGTGTATACATCTATTGAATGTATCTGCAGCCGTTTTAGGAGGTCACCAGCCCCAAAACCTCACCACCACAACACCACAACACCCCAACACATGCATTAAACAGCTCTCTACTCTTCTCTCTCTCTCTCTCCCTCTCTTGTTGGACGCCGACAAAGTGCTCGTTTGGCACAAACGTTACGTTCCGCTTTCCCCGTTTGGTACAATCATCAAACGGTTTAGCTGTAAAACTAATTGCATTACATCAATTTTTCTGTTAAAAGTCAATAACCAATCAACAAACCCCCGACCCGCCCGTACCCAATACACACACTCGCATACCCGCAGAGAAGACCCCAAAGCCGAGCGGGAGACACGACCCTTGGCTGGCCAACAGAATAAAGCGCGGGTCAAAGTTTGAAAACGTGCAGTTAAATGCACACAGACACGCACACCGACAAGCACACACACAAACATTATACGAGTGCTCGTACATGCATGAGGGAAATCAGAGGGAGAGAGAGAGAGAGTCCGGCGGTCAATTTAATGGCTACGGAAGGGCATTGGATGTGGCGCTGTAGCGACGAATTAATGACAGGAGTAATCACATTAGACCCCCCCCCCCAACAAAATACTTTTACACACCGAACAGGGTTGCCAGGATTCGATTAAAAATCAAACCGATTCGCAGATTATGGAATTTCACTTAGCTTTTCCTTCTATCAATGCAGCACAACTGGAAAGAGCTAAGGAATTGGCATTGACCAGTGGAAAACAGCAAATACTTTGGCACCCAAAACAGGGCTGCCGTCACTGAATATGATTAATAAGATGATGGCGCAATTAAAGAGCTTAAGACCTTCTTCGTCTGCTTGTGGAATGACAGCAACATTCCCCAAAAAAAAAGCCCTGCCACAATGACGTGTTCATGCAGCACTCTTTCCCCACACACACACATAAAACAGAATTTGTGATGGTGGAGGTGGAGGTGGCGCCAAATGCTGACGGGGAGATAGACAAAGAGGGAGCGTGGGAGAGGGAGACAGAGAGAATCGTTGACCAGACACACACACACACAACGAACGGAACGTTAAATCGTTAATTGATTACGGGACAACATTGATTGTTGTTCTTGTTGTTCCTGTTGTTGATTTTTCCCTCCTTCTTTTACTGTTGTAATTCCGCATACGCCTCTCCCTCTCTCTGACTTCCTTTTGATTTTTTCCTCTCAGTAATACATAGGTGTGGGGCACACACATACGACCCCAATGATTTGGGAGCCATCGCTCCACCGGGGCGGTGCTTTCTGCCAGAGGAGTAGCAGCGCCCTAATGAGTATGAGACACAAGTACGGATTACAAGGCATCTCTGAATGATTCGAGGATATGGCCTGCAGCAGTAGCAACAGCAGCAGCACTCACTGAGCGCCCAACTGGCAGTTTAAAACTAATTGTTAAGCAAGCAGTCATCTCATGCCGCCTGCCGAACTACAAAACTCTGGCGAACCGATCCATACATCCCTCTATAGCGGTAGATGCATCCATGTCACGTACGCACAAACCGCAAATACAGACAATCTGGTCGAAATATAACCAGCAGAAGGATAGGAGCAGCCCAAAAGATACCAGAATGGGGAACGACTGAAGCAAACAGCCAAAGGCAGCAGCAGCAGCATCATCAGAGGCAGTGGCAGGCATCAACTTTGAAGTAGAGAGCAGCTCTAGAGTTTTGGGTTCTGGGTTCTGTAACTGATATTGCAGTTAAGGCGGTAACGAGTCTGCAACCGAACAGAGCCAAGAGAAAGGGACGAAAGATGGAACATCAAATGAACATTCCAACTGGAATATACCCAGCAATTGTCAAGGTATTTACAACAATTTTATTATTTTCTCTAGCTCTCTACCGGCATACACTTTTTCTCCAACGAGAATGCGAGGTATCAAAAAGAATAAATGGACTACTGCTGCTGCCACTCAAAAATTCTGGCCACCCACTCCCACACACACACACACACACACAAAAAAAAAGGCCAAAGGGCTCTGTGCTGGCCCAAGCATGAAAACAAAATACGTTGGAGGTTAGGTAAGAAGTACCAGAAAATGGTACCGTCTCCTGACAAGCATTTTAAGCAGCAATTATTTACTTTTACTTGATGCCAAATGACAACAACAGTAGCAGCAGCAGCAGATGGAAAACGAGCAGCAGCAACAGCAGCAGCAGGCAGCAGTTGGCTGAATGGCAGCAGTTGTTGTGCATGGAGCCAGCCAGCCAGCCAGCCAGCAGCCAGCAGCCAGGAGCATAGAATTCAATTTAACTATTTTGCAAAATTCATTACAGAATTCATTCGTAGCGTAAATTGCCAGCAGTATGGTATCCTTCAACTATCCATAAGGGAGGATGGAGAAGGAGTGACTTTGAGAAGGAGAAATCTGAAATGTGAAATATGGAAATCTAAAGGAATGCCCGAAATACGAAACCTGAGCAACATTGTCTAAGTTACTAATTGATGAACTCTGTTGCACTGCCACTGACACGGTGTGTGTGTGTGTGTGTGTGGCATGGATGTAGAACACGTGTACGACAAAACTTTCGGAGACCCCAAAAACTAAAACCAGGCGAAGCAGAAAGCAGAAAGCACCGAAAGGAAGCCAGAAAGCGGGGCAGGAGTCGCGCTACCACGTTGCGCTTGTTATTTTAATTTCCGCCTAAAAGTATGCAACAAATTGAAAGGATTACACAAAACTTTATGCCACACGCTGCAGCAGAAACGGCAGCAGCAGAAACAGCAGCAGCAGCAGCAGTCAGCGGCAAGACAAATGCGACAATTTAAGCGCGCACAGCAAGCAACAGCAAAAGCAAAAGCAACGAAAACATGGCATAAAATTAATGTCAAGCAAAATGGAGAAACAGCAGCAGCAACAAACCAGTCGCATGCCACCAGCTGAGGCAACGGCAACGGCCACCCATTCATTCGTTCCCATTCACCGCCTCTGCATCAGCAGCATCAGCGTCAGCGTCAGCCAAAAAATTGCACCAAAATGATGTGGGTGGGGCACGGATCGGCTTGGCTTGGCTTGACTTGACTTGGTCTAGCTTAGCTTGGCTGTAGTACGAGTATGTACGAGTATGTGGGCGTTGCAAGTGCAACAACTTTTGTTGCATATTCAGCAACAGTGACAGCAATTTGCTTCTTTCCAAAATAAACTTGGCAACGCTTATATGGCCGCATTTTGTGGCAAATAAACTGGCGGCAAGCGCAAACTGCCAGCCATAAAAACTATGTCGATGTCGGCAAATTATGCTGCGATGCTTCAGAGCTCTGCCGAGCACTGAATAAAGTCATTCATGTTGCATGTTGCCGCCTCCATGGCTGACATTTAACACGGAGACAGAGAGACTTTTCAGGCGCCATAGAAAGCGATAGAGAGAGAGATAGAGAGAGTTCTGCTCCTCCGTGGGAGAGTGTGGGCTCCAAATCAATGAGGATTTTCTACATGCACCATTCCTCCTACCATCAGCAATCACACTGCACCATGCCATGTTGCACTAATGAGTGCATATTGTGCGTGTGTGTGTGTGCCAGCATTTTCCACACAGAAATTTGCCTTCTTGCTGATTTTCCACATTGTAGTGACAGCAGTTCTGTGCAGTGTGCCGCACGATAGGTAAAACATGGGGAAAATTAATGCAGGGGGATATATAGAGATAGATAGGGAGATAGAGCACATTGTCCCTGGCTAAACATTTACTCGAGCAACGATCAGAGGTCCGCACAATTCCAGCAAATAAATTGATAGTCCAACGTCAAGATTGCGCTCTTGGAACTGCCAGAAATCGAATATTCATTATTGAAAACGGAAACGATAATCTTTAGACCTGAGCGGGGGTATTGGCAACAAAAAAACATAACCAACAGATAAGCAATGCCCAAAAAATTCGATTCCACAGAAATTTTCATTTCTCGCCTTAGTATTCCCCCAACTGTTTTCAGCCCAAGCGTTTCTGGCGGACTACATGCCCGTCTTGAGTCATGCACCCATTTTACAGTGCAAAACAATCAAAATAGTGAGAAAAACTGTAATTAAGTTGAATTTCGATTACATCTATGGATTCTGGGGACCCCAATTGATTATTTCAAACAATATTTGAATAATCTCATCGACATTGATGTTCTCTGCTTTCAATCTTTTCAGTGGAGCTAGCAGGTCACTGGAATTCTGAGATAAATATAGTTCAGTCATTAATTGCCCTTTGTAGAAATCCAAATCCCTTGTCAGAACATACCCTTGCTCTGTCCACCAGAGTCTTGAACTGCTTGTCCCTGAGGGCCTTGTAGAATTTGGCGAAATCTCCGCCCTGACGCACCTTTTGCGACATCAGAGCATAGACCTTGGCCCGTGGCAGAGTTTGAACCGCTTCGCGTAGGAATGTGGTTAGATCACGGTGCAGCATCATCTCCACGGGCACAGTGCGCGACAGCTGAAAGTTGCGCAGTCGCTGGGGGAGATTGTCCACAAGGCTGGTCACCTCATAGCCCGATCCGTATTCGTTGAGGTAATCGATGAGTGCTGCCACATCAGGAGCAGCACGCACCTCCTGCCAAGTCTTTAGGAATTCATCGCTGCGCAAAAATCCCACGGCCTGGCGGAATCTCGGATCGAAGATATAGTATCTGGCGGCTATATAACCGATGCGTCGACGCGGCGCAATAGCCACAAAATCCCGCAGATCTGCACGTAAATCGGCAAAGGTTGGGGCGCAACTAAAGATTACACCAAGCAAAAAGATAGCAATCGGAACGTGGCCAAAGAAAGCCATTGTTGAGGGCTTGAAGATCGAGTTTGAAGACGTCTCTGCTTGCTAGTTGACACTTTTATATACGAGTGCCGTGTGTCCCAAAGATGGGACAATATTTGCCTTTGAATGAGGGAAGTGAGGGTGGGGAAGGTGCTAATTGATTGCCGAATGATCGAAAACTATTACTTTTGCTTTCACCATTGCGTACTGGGAACAGTTTAGCAGTCCACGGATGAGTCTGCCACTGTTCCCAGCATTCCATAAAGTGCGCAATAAATCGGAGGAGTATGCTGCGCACTCCGTGTATAAATCAAGTGATAAATTCTTTTGTCTGGGCCCACAAAGCTCAATTTTATTGCTCCCCATTTGTGCATTAAAAACAATGATTGATTCCATCTCCCAGAGAGTACCCTCCTCCTTACACACAACCGCCCACGCACTTGATGTTATGTTGTCTGCCCCAAAAATTAGAATTCAATTGCGTGATTTATGGAGTCTGAAGTCTGATTTATGAGTCACCAGAGAGATAGAGACAGAGAGCTAGGGAGCTAGAGAGAATGAGAATGCGTGACCCTAAGCCACTCACTGCACTTTAGAGCTCACAAAACATGCGACTAACATTTGATTAAAACCCAAATTTAAGGCCAAGTTCCATAGAAAATATATGCAAGCCTCTGCGCTAATTAAATCAATAAACATTTGAAGATTCTGCCGATAAGAAAAACATTGAGGAGAACAGAGGAACCTCCAGCCATCAGTCACATTTGTTTACTCCGCAAATAAAGAACGCTCTGATGATTGCTCTGATGTTGGTGGCCACTTGCCTTTTCCTTGGCGGAAATGGACAGCTTCTCGAACAGGATTGCGGTACCACGACATCAAGCCGACCAATGATATTCGGGGGCCAGGATGCAGCACCAGTATCCCACCCATGGATGGCGCAAATTTACGGAATGGGACAATTCTTTTGCGGCGGATCGCTAATCACTCAGCGATTTGTTCTTACCGCCGCGCATTGCTATAAACCCAATGTGTACTTGTGTGTACTTCCCAAGCGACATATCTAAGCGACATATTTTTTTATATTTCACTCGTTTGCAGGACTGTCCGGCTGGGAGATTTCGACACAAGGTGGTGGACACCGCATCAGGATTACCCCGTTGAATCTACCTACATTCACCCAAATTATAGGACGTTTGATAGCTACGATATTGCTTTGATCAAACTGCAAAGTTACGTCATTTATACAGGTGTGAGAATACCATCACATTTCTCTACATGGAACTCTATGTAGAAAGAATTCCTCTCTTGCTTTAGATTTTATCCGACCGATCTGCATACTGCTGAACTGGAGTCTACAGCAGAAGGTAGATAACTTTCGGGAGTTCACTCTAACCGGATGGGGCACAATGGAAAACGGACAGATACCCTCCGTGCTGCAGACAGCCAGTCTGACCCAAATCGATCGAACCGCCTGCCTCCAAAGCTACGGCTACCAGGTGAATAGGTTGCATATCTGTGCCGGGAGTATCGGAACCCATGCCTGCACCGGAGACTCTGGTGGACCATTGGGCACCATCATGGTTTATAAAGGGGCGAGCTTTTACACACAATTTGGGATTGTGAGCTATGGCCCAAAACCCTGCAATGGTGTGAGTGTCTTTACGAATGTCTTGCAATTCACGCCATGGATACATTACACCATTGAGCAAGCGAATCTAGTCTGAAAAATGGCAGAAAACTCTAAAGAAATATGAATGCCGACTTGCAGAAAATTTGTGGAGCATAGAAACACAAAAGATAATCAATCAAATTAACACACTTTCAATAAAAGATTTCCCTATCCGTATCCATTTCTATTGCATTTCTTTAAATCTCCATGTTTACAAATCCTCTGGCAAAAGTCAAAAAGGAAGCAATAAATTTGCCCATATAATCGGCTATATTCTGTGGCAAGATCTTTCAGTTCTTCCCTGCGAATCGGGAATTCGAGGACCAAAAAAACGGAAATCGAAACGAAAGCTTTTCGTGTGTGTGTGTGAGGACCCAAAGCTAGGCCGTTGTCATCTTCCGCCTGCCACACACAGCCACACACAGCCACACACACACACACACCCATTGTATCCAGGAGTCGCCACACAGAGCCACACACACGGCCGCGCCACCCGGCCACATATGATGCTGAATTGCTGCGGTTGCCCAGGACATTCACAGGACCATTTCCAGGACCATTGGTAGCCGTGCGTAATAAGCTGCAAAAACCATTTTTTGCCTACCTTTTTTGGCCATTGTCCCGCACTGTGCGGGAAATGTCGTTTGAAGTTTGTTTATGAGTTTCGGATGTTGCACGCACACCAACAACGGCACTAGCCATAGTAAAACAATAAGAACAAGTCGAACCGAAGTGATATGTACCCTAGAGAAGCGATAGTTGCTGTGGGACATTCTAATGGTTAATGCCAACTGATGATGTGGATCGCTCCTATGCTTTGCCTAGCCTGAAGGAAACACAAATAAATAGAAAGAGACAAACTTCTGGTCAACAGTGGGTTGCACTCTCTTGTCCAGGGTAGCAACAACAACTGTTGGTTCGCGTTTTAGATTTAGATTTGCTGCTGCTTTTGTTGCGTTGGTGTGTTGGTGTGCTGGTGTGTTGTTTGTGGTGGCGTATTAGTAGAGATTTATGCATTTAGGAAATTAAACATCCTGCAAGAGCGGTGGGCATTGTTAAAGGTTTTTCTTAAAGGTGTGTGGATGGATGTGGATGGATTGGATGCGTGGCCGCGGCCGCGGCCGTGGAGTGGGGGAATTCCAGGCGCCGCTGTCATTAATTTGAAATCATGCGTAAAATCGCGTAATGTCGCCAACACACACACAGTTGCCAGGGCCAACGAGAACTCCACAGACAGATCCATTGCCAGAGCATCCGCATCCTTCTGGAGAAACATACAGCATCCTTTTTTGCCAAAAAAAAAAACATAAACGTTGTGTGTGTATTTTTTTTTGTACCGCCTACTTATTGCACGTATGTATGTATATATTGTTGTATTTATATCTGTATATTGGCTGTTTTTTACGCTTCTCTTTCTCCTCTCTTCTCTCTCTCTCTCTCTCTGTGGGACTCCTGTCTGCACGGCGGAAATGCGTTCGACCACATCAATCACGCGACATTGACAAATGTGAATATTTTTGTTGCAAATTATATGTGTGGTGCGTGGCGGATGGCGGGATGGCGGGATGTCGGGATGGCGAATGGAAGATGGCAATGCATTGCCTGCCTTCTACATATATGCCACCGAACCATGCCCCATTGGCGTTGGGCATGTGGGCAAGTGGCTGTGCAAATTATTGGCTACAATAGTGCTTCAAATTGGGCAATTTATTGCTTTATTGCTTTTACGTGTTTCGTCTGCGGCTTGGTTGCAATTTTTATATACTTTTCCAGCTTTTTCCCCTTGCCCAATTCACTTTTTTTTCATTATGTGTGACATGGTGGCAAGTGCACTTGTTGTTGCGGCCGCCTGCCGTTGCCGTTTATAATTGCAAATTTAATCACGGTACAAAGTTTTAAGTGTAGCCACGTCCCACATACATAGTCAAGTACATTTGTATGTGTGCCATGTGCGTATTCTATGGTAAATAAATTGCTTAATTGTCAACAATTTTCAATAAAAGTTTCTCCGGTTTTTCCAGCGGTTATCGGTTGAAATTATGCCACTCCTCAGAGTGTCATCGATGATTCCAGTGGAATGCATTGGAGGACTCTAGAATGCGCGTACTCCATGGCATGCCTTTCCAAAAGCTTTCAGATACGGAAACTCCAGCGGAAACTTTGTGAGCCTCTGAAAGAGACGCCCTCATGAGCACTTTTTCGTGTGAATAATCGTAGCAACACATACAATTCTGTTGGTTTTCTTCTTAATCGTAGTGCACTGGGTCAAATGTGTTGTCTGTGTTGTATTCTCAGTATTCTCATTCCTTCGCAACGGAGACTCACACACACACACACACACCCACATATAATTTGATTGCCACAATAATTTTGTGATTCTTTTTTGGAATCGTTCTCAAAATTTCCAGAATGTCTCGACTACACTTCTTCGGTGGCTTACGTCGCTCTGCGTTGGGACTGCTCCGCTTCCATGGGGCACTATCTCGGACCGGGCCAGAGAGCCTGCGCTACCTGCAGGTGCGCACCAAATGCGGAGAGATGCGAGGCGTCGCCGTGGGTCTGTACGAGAAGGAGGGCGATCATCCGCCGAAGCTTTCGGCGGGCGGCGATGAGTTGGATCGTCTGGCCAGCGGAAAATTGACTGAGCTGATTCGCGAGACGGGTCTCGAGGGGGAGCTGGGGATGGGACGACTGTTCCACAACATCGGCACGGACTTCAACTGCCTGGCGGTGGTGGGGCTGGGCAGAGAGGGGGCCGGCTACAATCACGAGGAGGTCATCGACGAGGGCATGGAGAATGTGCGCGTGTGCGCCGCCACTGGCGCCCGCGCCCTGCAGCTCCAGGGCTGCAGTGAGGTCCACGTGGATGCCATGGACTATGCGGAGCAAGCAGCCGAGGGTTCGGCCATGGCCGTTTGGCGCTACAACATGAACCGTCGCAAGCGCGATCGCACCCACATCCCGAAGCTGGAGCTGTACCAATCGTCGGACGTGGCTGGCTGGTCGCGGGGACTGTTCAAGGCCGAGTCGCAGAACCTTGCGCGGCGTCTTAGTGACACGCCGGCCAACCAGATGACTCCACTGATCTTCGCCCAGGCCGCCGTCGATGCCCTTTGCCCCTGCGGCGTTACCGTGGAGGTGCGTTCCTTGGACTGGATCGAGGATAAGGGCATCGCTTCCTTCCTGGCGATTGCCAAGGGCTCCTGCGAGCCCCCTGTCCTGCTGGAGATCAGCTACTGCGGCACCGCCCCGGAGGACAAGCCCGTCCTGCTGCTCGGCCAGGGACTGACCTTCCACAGCGGTGGCTTTTGCCTGAAGCCTAAGAGGGGCATGGACGAGTACCGCGGTACCGTCTCCGGAGCCGCCCTGGTGGTGGCCACCATCCGTGCGGCCTCCGCCCTCTCGCTGCCCATCAATCTGTCGGCGGTGCTGCCGCTCTGCGAGAACCTGCCCTCGGGAATGGCCGTGAAACCAGGCGATGTTATCACACTGCTCAACGGCCGGACGATGCGCGTCATGGATCCCAATATCGCCGGCACAGTGATGCTGGCCGATCCCCTGCTTTACGGCCAGGCGACGTTCAAGCCGCGGCTTGTCATCGATGTGGGATCGCTGGCGACGGGCGTCACCAAAGGATTGGGCGGCTCGGCCACTGGATTGTGGACGAACAACTCCTTTCTGTGGAAGCAGTTCCAGAAGGCCGGCGGCTACTCGGGCGACCGCCTGTGGCGCCTGCCACTGTGGAAGTACTTCAAGCATTTGGTCACGAAATTCGGCACATTTGACATGTGCAACAAGGGACGGGGACCAGCGTCGTCCTGTCTGGCCGCCGCCGTCCTCCACGAGATGGTGCCGTGCAGCGATTGGGTGCATCTCGATACCCACGGCACGGGGATGCTGGCCAAGGACGGGGTGCCGCCGTATCTTCTCAAGGACCGCATGAGCGGACGCCCCACACGCACTCTCGTCCAATTCCTCTACCAATTAGCCTGCAAATGTCCTTCGGCCTGATAGGAGGATCCTTTTATTTTACCTCAACTGATACCAATTCCCTGAAATTCTCTGTAAATACTCGCACTTTGTTTTGCTTTAAGAATATAGTTTAGAGCTTTTAAAGCCATGTTTATCGTTCTCTCTAAGTGCTCGCAGGAAGCTCGTCCTGGTCCTGCAGCCTAATTAATGCCTCGAAAAGGGAATTTCGGTAGAGTTGCTAATTGCTGCAAGCAAATAATGCCACCGAGTATACGTGCCCCAACATGTGGATATGTAGATGTGGATGTGAATGTGAATGTGGATGTGATGCCTACAAATGTTGAGTCACATTCTTTATTTATGCGCACATGTTTTGCATAGGTAATGGCCTCCTGCCTCCTGCCAAAGGCCACAGGCCACAGGCGAGCACTTAAAAGAGCTAGTGATGTGCGCGTGACAGGAGATTTCTCTTTATATAAGGTTTCTTAATTGGCTGCTATAAAGTTTTAAGTCCCAGCACACGAAAACTATCTTAATTTTAAATATATCCATCCGACTGTCACTTGTGTCATTGCTTAATAATGTCATTATCGCACAAAAAATGCCTGCCAGAGCCGCAATAAAAATCCAAGAAAAACTAAGCAAAAGTTAACGATTTTTAATGAATTTTCCAGCATGTTTTTAGGTTTGAGCGAATTGATTGAATTTTCTTTTCTGTTTTATGTGTGTTTTTTTCTGTCCTTTCTGCTTCGTGTGGCCCACAGCCTCAAGAGCTTCGCTGCAAGAGTCCGCGGAAGGCACAGAGCAGGGTCCTGCCTGCCTGCCTGCCTCAGAGTTCGGGAATCGTTCTCGAGTCTCAGTTTCGCTTTCGGTCGCTCTTGTTTGTTGCTTAATTGGAAGGAAATTAAAAAATAAACAAGCTGCGCTAAAAGTAAATACTACACGTTGCCGATTACCTGGACAGGCAGAGCCCATCCCAACCAACCCCCAAAGTTTGTCCAGCGAACCAAACCCCCCCTCACCCAACGAACCCATCCCAAAGGCCCAACGGCTGTTTGGAATTTAATTTTCATTTCGCTCTTCCGACAGACGGCCGTTAATTTTATCTTCTTTCCAACTGTGGCAATAGATTTTCCGTATTTTTTTTTTTTATTATTATTTTAGGACCTGCCTTCGAAGAAAATCCTCCTTTTGCAGCTCTTACACTTTGCCTTTTCCACCGAAGGTGGAAGAAAGAGATCGAACGAAAGAAGAACTTAAGACACGTTTTACAGCGGTGGTTTCAGCCGCTCAAGACTTTTCATTGCGGCCTCAAATTCGACGTGCTAGAAGATGGCCCTCAAGTGTTTGCTTTGAATTAATTACAACCCATCGATGGGCAGTAATTGGCAGTAGAACGAGTGGCAGCCACAGCAGCAGTAGCAACAGCAGCAGCAGCAGTAGAGATATCTGCTAATTGAAGCGAATGTGCCACAATAAGCGGAGATATAAGATGAGACATAGAGGCATAGACGTACGTTGGACCCCAAAAAACAAAATTGAAATTCAAGGCAACAGTTGGAACAGACGGAGCGCGCTCCTAAGCAAACAGAATTTTTCGGCCAGTGGATGAGGCAACACAGCGACCGAATCTGAATTCGAAACCGAGTCCTGGGAGAACGAACCTTGGGTTTTGGCCTGTGCCAGGGCCCAGCGAAATGGTAAAAGTGTCTCCACCGAATGTGTGTGTCCAGGGGGTAGTGGTGGGGGGGGAGATGGTTCCTCCATTGGCATAACTAATAAGACACTTATTATGCCGCAGGGCGCCGCGTGGTCTACGGGTAACGTTATACCGAAACTTAACGATATCACGTACATACGTTAACTAACGCTAACTACGTCGTTAAGTGTGTGTGTGTGTGTGTGTTTGTGGGGACACGCGCCAGGATCACAGGACAGAAACAGTAACAGGACCAGGCTAAATGTAGGAGCTCCCAGGACTTGAGTAATCAAGCTCTTGGGTTCCTCGCTGTTGCTGCTTCCATGCTGTGAAAATTTACATTTTCAATGTTCCACCCGCTGTCCGCGGCAGTCCTGGCTCCAGGTGTGTCCTGCAGGACCCTCTAGGAGTACGACTCCACTTGTAATCAGGATCACGTCGGCCCCAAAACATGAGGCTTAGTTAAATGCCGCTAATTAGGGCAGCTTCTGGCCATTGGGCGCTATTAAAAGCCAAGCTAAAACCCATAAAAACCCACCACACACACACACACACACACATGGCCATAAAACTAAGGGAAAATCGTATTTGCTTTGAGTTTTCAGTGGCCGGGGGGATGGGGTTTATAAATTTTAATTATGTTTGGGTCAATGCCAACAGGCAGTGCGGAGGAAAGCACTTGCCAAAAAGAATCTATTTCCATCTGGGAATTGCCACCGACAAGGGACGGGGAGGGGAAAAACAATAAACATAAGCGCAATATTTTATATTTCCGCAACAAGAAGCCAGCGGGAAATTGTCAACCAGAACGGCAGGGCACAGGGCAAAACTATCAAAGAAATGTTGAGGCGGAAAAGCATACTGTTGCCAAATGGCCAATTCCATTGGATGTTCGGAATGTTCGGCTCTTTGGCTTAAAGCAAATTTTGTGTGTGTTTCGCCGCGCACTTTGTAGCTCATGAATAATCCTTTCAAGCTTAATCGACTGCCGCCGCGTTCGAGGGCCTGAAATCAGTTTCAAATTCTAAATAAATATGCAAATTGCGCTGTGAAAAGGTGTCCCCAAAGGGTACATTAGACCCTTGGCAGGGTGTAGCCTCCTTGCGTTTGAACAAAATGCTTTTGTCACCTACGTAATCGATTAAGCGATAAGGTGTTTGTATACACTTGCACAATGAAAGGCTCCACAAAGGGCCAGGGCCAGGGCCACGGCCAGCGCCAGCAGCAGACAAAAGGACGCTGCGGCACCCCAACCCAGCCCAAAAGGGGCTTTCAAATTGAATTTATATGGCTGCTAAAGTTTACAAATACATATATAAATGAATACACATAAATAAAAGCCAAGCCGGATTTTAGTGGAAAATATTTACAATGTCTGCACATTAGCGGGGATTTTCAATTTTCGGTGAACAAAAGGAATGCTTACAAGGCTTAAAGCTTATAACAAACTATCAAACGGGAATTAAGCACGCACCTACACACCAACACACACACACTAACAAACAACTGCACACGCACACACTAATTATGCAAATGTGCGTTGATTGCGAAAACTGCGACGGAAAAAGTAGGCAGCACTTTTCGGATCGCTACTTTGAAATCCAAAGACCAAAAACAGAAACGAAATGCTTTATGTCTTTAAGCGTCTCGACTGCCGGCTTACCCTTTGTTTTTTTTTTTGTGGGCAAAATTAACATCGACTCTTGATCAATATTATAGAGAGAGAGATAAAGGAAAATCTGTTCATCTTAATTATGTTATTACTCGGTACTTACATAGTTCCTTTGAAGACTTGTCCGCCACTTCCCACTTTTTGGCATTCCTCTTCAATTTTCATTTTATATTCTAGTGAAGAGAACGAAAGAGAATTAATAAAATTTAAAATATATAATACAAACTACTTTTTATGTGTTAATAACTATTAGAATTGTTGTGACTAGCGCCTTAATTTATAAGTATTTATATGCTTGTCACGCTAGGATGGCAAATACAAAATACAAATACAAATACAAAATACGTCCCCGATATACCCTGCTCTGCAACATGTAGAGGGTGCAAGAACAACAAAAATTTGCATAATTATGCAATCTACGAATGCTACACACACACACACACACAGGAAAACGGCACACACGCACAAAGGAACACATTTTGTTGGCTAATTCGAAATAGAAAAGTTTTCAACAGCCGCCAGAAAAAGCGTTTCGTATCTGAAGCTTTTGGTCAGCAAAATGGTAGTGAAAATTAGCATTTGAGCCACAAACGAAACGAAAGGGAAATGCTGCAGAAAATTTAATAGAAACTAAACATCGAAAACAAAAAAGCAAAACATTGCTTAAATTGTGGAATAAACTCTTGATTGGAGGGGACTGGGATCACTCTTGGGGCTTCAGTTTCTCGAGAACCTTGGCGATTTCCTTCTTCAGGGCCACCGCACGATTGACCAACATCTTGGCCAGCAGTGCATGCTTCTCGGCCATCGCCTGGGCATCGTGATCCCGGAACTGCGATTCGCTTGAGCTGCGCGATCTCTTGGCCAACTTTTTGGCCGCTTCCACGGCCTTGAAGGCCTCGGCCAGAGCCCGATTCGCCTGCTTGTGGGCGGATCGATAGGCGGCCTCCAGGGTCTCGATGCGATGACTCTTCAACTTCTTGGCCTCCTCTACGGAGATGGTGGCTTCGCTGAGCATTGAGGCGGCATCTGTGGCCATGTCAAAGACCCGTTTGGCCATGTCATCTGTGGTCTCCTTTTCGACCGCCACTGGCGGTGGTTCAGGCTTGGATTTCTTTGCTTTTGCTGCAATCTCCATTCGCGGATAGACAGTGATTGGAGATTCCTGCACCTCTTTTGGATCGCCAGGCGCAACTGCATCTCTGGCTTTAGCTTTCGCTCCTTTGTCTTTGGGCTCTTCTGTCTCCAATTCCTTTGTATCTTTGTACCAATTACTCTTCTGTTTGACGGAAACATCCGTAGCCCCCATATTCGGTGGTTCCTTGGGCTCTTTTGGATGCTGATCGGAGCTCATTATGTCAATGCCTTTCTGGCCCATCCACATGCCTTGGCTTGAGTTTCCGCCATCCGGCATCTGGCTTAGGGAGGCCTTTTCCTGAGGTTTGCATGGATCCCTTGTCCCTTTTTTGTCGATTTCTCCGCTCTTCTGAACAGGCTCACAGGTGGTAATTGAAACGGAAAAATCTGCATTGGCTGCATCTTCGAATTGTACCTTTTTTTCCTTCTTTTTCGTTGATTCCATTTCACATTCGTTGTCCGATTCCTCAGCCTCACATTTCTGCTGCTCCGCGCAGTCCTTTGCCGGGGATTCCTCTTTGTCCCGCGACTGACAGTAAGCTTCACATTCGGAAATCTCTCGTTTTTTCTGATACTTGCATGGGATATCATTGTCGTCGTCGTCATCGTCATCGTCGCAGTTGTCAGCCTGCTTTTCCTTGTTCTTGCGTTTGCATTCCATTTCCGTGCACCTCTTACGCTTTTCCTCTGGCAAATCATCCTCATCGTCATCCCCGTCGATGCTGAGATGCGTATGCTTTGCCTTCACATCGGGATTCAACTGCGTTGCGTCGCCCCGGATAATGGTCTGTGTGCAAATGTTCGGCGAGTGCTCCCGACGATGGTAGTGATCATCGTCTTCGTCTTCTGATTTGGATTTTGCTTTGGACTTGGCCAATGCTGATCCTTCCGATGGCTTCGCTGTGACTTCTGTTGGTTTCGGTTTGGCCTTCGCTGCCGCTTTGGCAGCTCTGGCGGACGCTGCCGCTCCCTGCACCTGTTTCACCATCTGTGAGATCTTTGCTATGGCGAAAGTGAGAAACTGTTGCGCCTTTATTGCCAACTCTTTGGCCATCTCCGCGCCTTTCTCTGTCATTTCCTCAACAGCCTTTGAAGGTTCTTCCTTCTTTGGGGATGGACTTGATTCGGCGGGTTTCTTGGCCTCCGTCGGTTTGGCATCTGTGGCTGCCGCAGCAGTGGGCGCAGGTGGCTTGGACGGTGGCTTTGGCGGCTCTTCTGGCTCTTCCGGATGCATGGCCGTTGGATCAGAGGGCCCTGGCGTCTGCTCCTCGGGTGTGTGCGGCCAGAATGTGGGCTTGTTTATGAAATCGGGGGCCAAGTGTGGCCGGTGAAGGCAGAACTCCTCCATGGTCATCTGCTCGTAGGGCATCATGGCCTTCAGGACGTCCAGCTGTTCGTTGAGCACCTTGATGCGCTTGTCCGACTCCTCCTTGTACTCACAGATCTCCCGCTGCATATCCTCCGCCTCCTTGTTGACCTCCTCGAAGTATCGCCGACTGCTCAGCATCACGTGCCGATTCACGAACAGGGTATCAAGCTTATCGTATTTCTGCTCGAATTGTGTCACCCAACTGACGAACTCTGGCCGCACATTCTTGCGATAGTATTCCCAGTCGATTTTCGGCATGGAATCGGGATATTTGCCAACGCGCCTGTGGGGGATTGAGGATTACGTATATATGGCATCTATGGATCGCTAGGTATAGCTATATCTTACGCTCTGTACTTTTCATTTCTTTTCTTGAACATCTGGAACTGTGGCAGCTGATTGGGCGGCACTCGCTGCAGTATATCCGACATATTGATCAGTTTTGGTGTCGGTACCTTATTCTTGCCTCCTCCGCCGTTTTTCTGGCCGGTGCCCTTCTTAATGCAGTTTACAAACTGCTTCCAAATTACCATCTCTATTTGGTTTATTCTTAATATAAAATATAATTTGTGGAGAATATATATATTTATATATATCTGATGTGTGATACTTTTTGAATGATCAAAAGGGGAGTGATGGGGGAAAATGTAGCTCGAGTAGGGGGAGCCAACTGTGTGAGTGAGTTGGGAGGGAAAAGGTGAAAGGCATGAAGCAAAGCATTCTTCAATTTATAGCCTGATAAAATTGCATATTCATGCAGTTTCAATTAAATCAGAGCTTCAAGGACCCACTAGACCAAGCAGCATCATCATCTAACTGACAATAAAATCGAAAATCAATTCCATGCCAGCAGACGCACGAAAGTTAAATGTAATTGCTAGAATGGGGATCCTTGGAATACGGAGGTACGAATCGAAGGGAAATGTAAAATCACAAGCAGCAGCAGCAGACGTATGGGGAGCGGGAGCATCATCATCATCAACATCAACAGTCAGGAGCAAGGAGTCAGGAGAGAAGCCAGTAAATGTTCGCAAAGTGACAAACGCAATTTATAACGCAACGAAAATGGGCTAATGCCAATTCTCCAGGTAATTGTCGTTGTCGCTCTCCCCCCGTCTCTCACGCAGCAATGAGCGGCAAAGAGTAGCAATAGGGGAGGGGAAGATGAGCGTGAGAGGAGAGAGCCTTGAAAGCAACCCTTGCCAAAAGTGCCAGGTTCCAGGCCACTGGCAAAACGAAACGAAATGGAAACGAAATGAGGCAAAACACAGTTCTGCTTCTGCGCTGTGGCAACGCTACAGCTGTCACTTTGACAGCTCCCGTCGACCCTCTTGCGTTGCTCTCCCCTACATTTGTGCTGCCAGATGTTGATTTCAAAGGACATACGCGGCAATGGAACGCAGGGAGAGAGCGCAAATGAATGAAATGGAACACTGGGCAAGAGAGAGAGCGCTAGAGCAAGAGAGAGAGAGCAGAGCGCGCCTTCGTCTGTCTGTCAGTAATTTTTTGTGCATCTGTACATTTTTCGTGTATTTTTGTTTTTTTGCAACATAAATTCGTTAAAAAGTTAAGTGCAATTTCAACAATTAGGCATAAAAAGGAACATGTGTGGACAATGTTTGTGAGTGGACTCCGGTCTATGGACGAGGCGTAATAGTAATTCCGCAGAGCAGAGTCCTGCGACGAGTGTGTGTGTGTGGTGTCCCCCGTGAGTGGAGTGCGCGTGTGTTTGTATCTGTGTTTACATTTTTTTCCCTTCGTGCAAACTAAAAACTTAACAATAATTTAATCGTTAACTGAACATTCTGTATGCGTATGCTAAAACTGATTTAATTTTAGGTAAGTTACACAAAAATGGGGTAATGGTTGCAATTGTGGGGGATTTCTGTGACGTTGAATGCACGATATGTGGGTGTGATTGTGCCTGTGAGTCTGTGTGTGTGTGTGTCTGTATACAAACATGTGACTCTGTGTATGAAATCCTAAGGCATTGGAAAAGTCAAAGGAATACCTGTGCAAGATGTGTCATGTGGCAAATCCTCGGGCTTGTTCTTTGGAAATGAAACTATGTATAAAGGTGTAGAGGAAAAGAAAGATGTAGATGGGCAATTTACAGAACATATAAAATATGTAAAACTATCTTTAGATGCATAAAATTCACGTATATTACATTTTGGCAAAACGAAAATAAACATTGCCGATATGAGAATCAATTACACCAAAAAATATACGAATGACCATTAAATGCCAGGACCATATGTTGTCTCAAATTTATGTACATATGTATGTATATGCATTTATTAAAAAATAAAACCTAATTTAAATTGGTTCAAAATCTCTATAAAATAATACTACGTAATACTAGTACCAAAAACCATAAATAAAGGAGCAAACTCCCCAAATATGGCATCGAAAATAAACCCCAACAATGTTCTAACAAATTGGAGATCAACATTCGTGCAGCTGCCACAGCAACTACACGTATTACCAGCGCTAAGCCTCACTGTTGGGGTATAACGTAATATGAAATGAAACTCATCAAAATTCCCTTAGACCACAAAACTAAATTGTACAAATCTACTAATTGACTCGAATGATGGTTGTATAACTTCGCTGCCGGATAGAAACCCCCATTTGGTTTCCACTCGCATCCCTTGGAAATAAATAGAGTTTGTTGCGAATAATGTGGAAAAATAAATTTCCAAAGCTGCTGTTGCTGGTTGATGGCTTAGAATTTTAATGTAATTTATTTTTGGTTGCGGCAGAGGCGGAACAGCAAAAGGAGCGCCGTGGCGCGGTGTGGCGCCCAGAAACAAATAAAACATTGGACCAACATAAAAAATTTATATGCAGCGTAATGCCATGGAATATATATGTTCGTATGTACATATATATGTACAATGTACATACATACCCATCGCATAGCCATAGGCCATAGGCCAGGGACTTGGATTGGCCGCTTTGTTAAGCCTTTTGGCCCCCACTCTGCAGAAGCAGGAGCAGCCACCCCTTTTGGAGGAGCAACTTTTAAAGTGTGCAATTTAAATGAAAATTTTCCCGTTCCGAGGCCCCACCGCCGCATTGGGCCGTGTCTTGCCACGCAAGCGGACTAGCAAGTAGCACCATGCCACACCACACACACACACACACATACACCTAAAACTACTTATTTATGAAGCGAATGGGAGAGATGGCATAGGGAAGGGTATAGGGTGGCATAGGGTGGCACCGGGCAGCACAGGGGGTGGCAGCGAGGTAGGTTCTTCTCCCTTTTTGGCTTTGCCAAGTGATTTTATGCTAATATTATGGGTCATTGGGATTTGCGCAGAGCAAAGTGCTTGTTAAACATTTCATTAGACTTAGTGTAAATACCCGCGCGGTTAACAGGACCTCGTAAAGCAAGGACCCTCAGCCCATTCACGCTCACAATCCTTCCTTCACTGTACACACACACACACACACACACAACCCACCCCCCTCCACCCTTCAGTGCTTGTGGCGTGGATCCCAAAAGTTTCCTTTTGAAATTGAAAGTGTTGATGGAGCCAAGCAGCAGCGAGCCCCGTGTCTTGGGTCATATGCTGCCATATGGCGACCATTATACAGTGCGTTTCGTACATATATGTAAATGGCCGTAACCCTAGTAAAGTCTGAATATCTTTTTTAATTCAATATCATAAATTTAGTTATTCTTATTTGATAAAAATAAAAATAATTCACTAAAAGAAACGATATTCAATAATATATATTCACAAATATTTTCAGAATATGATTGAAAAACATTTCCATCGGTTTCCGATTATTTTCAGAAGATATATCCTATATTTCTGGATAAATATTCTTCTTCTAAGATTCCCCAAAACGACTCTTATGGCTATGCCAGGCACCGTACACCCTCTAACCGTCTATCCTCATGTGTATGTAATTATTCAACAGCTGCTGTCAGTCCAAAATAAAAATAAAATGTATCAAAAATAATCAAAAAGAAAAGAAGAGAGGAGCCCAGCCCGAAATATGACTTTCAGTTTAATGCCAAAATCATGTCATCCACAGATGTGACCCACTCTGACCCTCTATCCTACCTATCCCACATATTGCACTACTTTCCGAATATGCTCTAAGTGTATCGCGTATGTATGTGCGTATGTAGCGTGCATATGTACATGTATTTGCACTGTTATATTGGATTCGTGGCCATGTGATGCTGACAGAATGGGTTTTTGATCAACTGGCGACGAGGTCGCTCGAGCGACGCGTCACTCAAAATTCTGCAATTAGTTATTGATAAATCAGAATCTGAGGCATGCGGCATGCGACATGTGGCATGGGGCATTGGAGGCATTGAGACCTGAGAGCATGAATGAAATATGAGAATTGTCACACTTTAAAGCGTTGAATGTTCCTTTTTGCGCTTCTGCAGGAGTGCAGGACTGCGATGATGTTGCTGCCGCTGCTGCTGCTGTCTGCAATAATTGGAAAAATTTCCATTTGTTCTTTTTGTCCTTTGCGCCATATGACAGGAGAGAAAAATAGGGTGGGGCAAACCGGCGTAAAAACTGGACCAGGGAGCAGGACAGGACAGGCGGCTGGGCTAGGCTGGGCTGGGCTGTAGGCCAGAGGCCATGAACAAACGAGGCTGTAGGCTCGCGCGCATTTACCATCTGTCACTCTGGCACTCGTGATGAATGTGTTTGACGTGTGGCTCAATGTGCCACCTCCTCCCGCCCCCGCCCCATTCGACAGAGCACCCATCAGAGCCCGTCAGCCATCGGTGGCGGAGCACTCGCCCTCGTGGAGATCCTTCACCATACCGCATGACGTTGCATACTTTGCGGCGCTGCCGCCCAGTGAATAATGTGCGTCAGAGTCGTGGCCCGTCGATGCCTGGCAAATCTTAATGATTCCGCTGGCAAATTGCGCACAATATATCCCCAATGTGGCAGCCCTGGGATAGAGAGTTTTGCACTAGAGACTTGGAGCTTAATAAAAAGTACATTATTAATTTCATTTTATGTTTCATTTCAGAACTGACAATTCTCCCAAGGAGAGCGGGCCAGTCACTGCCAATCCACTGCCGTCTCTTCTAAAAGCTCACTGCCAAAAGTGTTCATACAATTCTCGATCGAAATGTTTGCCGCCGAATGCCTGCTGCTGGGTGCCTGCCTCCTGCTGGCACTCTCCACTCGACAGATATGTGCCATGACCGAGGAGCTATCGCCAGGTAAGTTTCTATAGGGTATATCTCTAATTCCCGTTCTGCACACCTGATTAAAGTCTTGTTCTTCTGCTGCATTATGCAGAAAGAAATCGCAACACGAAGAACGCTGCATACACACACAGACCGAACATACAGAACACACAGAACACACAGAGAACACACAGAGAGTATGTCGCAATCAATAATGCAAATTTATGCGCTCCTCAATGCTGGGATGGCAACTCAATCAGCGAACTAGTTGCACGGATTATAAATAAACAATGGACAGGAGTTCTCGAAGGCAAGCAAAACCCTGCCTAGCTCCTAGTAAGGAGCATCAATTTTAATTATGCAAATGTCCGAATGAGACTTCAAGCCACATTTTAGGATCTCACTTCGCATTCAACCCAAATCATGGACATACAATC